TTAGTGTGTCGGTTAACCGCACACGCTCCACTAACTACATATAAAGCATAATGTGTAATTTCATGGATTCACATACTTTTCACATTTTTCCTAAAGTAACTAGAGTGGGATTTATTAAAGAAAGTTCTAGTACTTTTATATCATTATCCTTATTAATGAGATTATGTCCTATCAAACCCGTTCGACTAATGACCCTCCACCATACAAGGGATCGGTGGGCGAGAGTGGACACCCAATGACGGTCATTTTACAGGCCGCTTCCTTATACCCCCTTATAGTATGGCTTCGTAAATGAAGCGTACTAGCAATTTGACTGACTTGTATTATACATATAATATATTAAACTTTTAATACTATATATATAATGTGTATTTTAAAACTTTTCTAAAATACTAGGTTTAATATTAAATTGTCGAAAGTTAATAAAAAAATTTAATTTAATTTAAAATTAAACCAATTATGATTTAATTTTTACCTTTTAATTAACTATTAATGAAATTAATTTAAATCATATGATGATTAAATAATTATTTATTATTAAACTATTAATCAAATAATTTAAATTTAATCCTAATCCAATCCCTACTAGATTTTTGAAAATTAAGGGTATTGGGATTTTCCAATTTTAATTATTCTATTTTAACCAATTAAAACAATAATTATCAAATAAGGAAACCCTAACAACCCTAGTGATTTTCGAAATCAAAGGAGGAGGCTACGGTTTCAAGAACCCTAACCCAAGTCGAAAATTCCAAGCCTTTGGGTTTAATTTCTATAACCCTTAATTTGATCTATTCAACTATTATGCATATTCAATTAAAAGCATTAGGATCTGATACTACTGTGGCGGAAAAATAACTTAACTCTTAAGTTCACATGCAACCTAATTGGATCTATGTTTTCACTATTGAATGATATAATCTATGAACATCAAAGAACCCTATAGAGACCCAAGGATTATCAAAAATCATAAGAGGGTTAGGGTTTACATACCTTTTGATTATTCTTATAAATAACCAATGAAATCCTTCTTCAAAAGCTCTTGGAAGCAAAACACCAAAAATCTCGTGCCTCTGATGGTTCACACTAAAACCCTAGAAACTAAGGAAACTTGAAGAGAGAGGAGTGGGGAGGCAATTTTTGGCTATTCTCTTGAAAGGAGGAGTGGCCGAAAATTGAAGGGCTAGAGCCCTAATTATAGTTGCACAAGGAAACCCTAGAAACCCTAATTTGAATATAATACTATTATTTCAAATTAGGTAATTATTCAATCTCCTAGTTATCTTTAAGGGATATTCTATAAACCCTAGAATATGCCTCCAAAACCGTCCACCACCTTGGGGAAGGTTTTGAAACCCATTTGTTCAACTATTGAACAATTACAGCTTAGGTCCTTGCACTTTTAATTAATCCAATTAATCCCAAAATTAATTACTGATTAATTCTTAATTAAATAATATTATTTTTAATTAATATATTATTCTCATAATGTATTAATAAATCATTTATTGATATTTATCAATCATATAATAAATCAATAAATCAGTCTCTCTCTAAAAGTCATCATATTCAATTACCAGATTTGAGAGCAACCCAAAAAGACTTTGCTATAATTCAAGTGTATACCACTTTAGTTATTGGCTTAGACACCTAATACAACAGTCTCCCACTTGGATTAGTCTATAACTACAATTGTAAGTATAACTTTTAAATTTAAAAGCAAATGGTGCTTCCCAAAGCAACTCCAATCTCTGATCTAATCAGACATCGGTCCTAAGATAAATGATCAAATATTCTTTCATTCTATAGGATATCGTATGGACATGAGACATGGATTATAATCAATCTCTTGTCCAAATTATGTTTCCCGATTTCCTGATTTGTGATGACCTCATAAGACTTACTAATTGAACACATCAATTTAGTCTTGGTTGGGTCCAACACTATAAATCAACACCAACTCACTGAAGGCCCAAAGATATCACTTTTCCCGTTAGGGAAAAAGGAACGAATAAACTTTGACTTATATGCTTGTATCCTTACTCACCAAATCATACATGACACTACGTTTTATAACATCTTGTTACTGATGCATTTTCGCAATACCAATGCACAACTTACTTGTAAATTACAACTCATATATCTCCGTTCTAAGAATATAAGATATTATCGTCTTAGAATTACTCGTGATATAATCCATGAAGTAATTCCCTAAGCGTGAGTTTATTGAATACTTAAAAACTCCATTTTCTAAGTACTCATGAATGTTGTAGCCTCACAATTGCTATGTCTAATATCTTTAGACAATTTACAATCCAATTCATGATAGTCTTCATTCACTACTTACTTCCTAAAGTATGAGGGACTGTGGATTTGCGAATAATCAAATCATTCAGGAAGTAAAACATGCAAATCGAACCACAAGAATAAATAATTGACAAGGGTAGTATTTGATGCAACGACACAAGAATACTCTGATAGGGTGTGAAACGAAGCTTTATTCGATGCAACATGATGCGATGCGCTAGGGGTGGAATTGGTACGGTGCGATATTTTTTTCTCCAAACCGTGTACCGTACCAACTATAGTTGGTATAATATTTTAGCTACCAGTATCGTACCAAGTGTACTTGGTACCAATTAATTTGGCTACCAACAAATTTGTTTGGTATATATTGGTATTTGGTATATACCAAAAAATTTAACTAATATGTACTATACATGAATATAAGTTGAATTTGTGGACATTTGGCGGTTGCTTCACTCGCTTCTGGTAGTTTTTTTTTTGAAAACCACTAAAAGGATTAAAAGAGGTTCATCCCTAGCAAGTTGCTAGAGGAAACAAATGGTAACAGTACAAGTACAAGGAATGAGAGGTTAGTATTCCTTTTTAAGTTTTAATGTATGTATCACCGATATCGTGCACATCAAACAATAAGTATCAAGAAATTTGTCGGTCAATGTGTTAGTTTAGTAATTCTAAGACTTGTTAGTTGTTATTCTAATTAAAAATGAAGATATGAGAACTCATATTTCTTTGTATTTATGAATTGATATATATATATATATATATATATATATATATATATATATATATATATATATATATATATATATATATATTGGTTGGTACGGTAAAACCGTGGTATTCAAAATTTCATACCGTTACCGTACCAAGACTACTTAATTGGCATGGTATTACCAGCCAAACATATTGGCTACCAAACAACTTGGCTACCATTTTAATTGGTTCGGTTGGTAACATGTTGGTTGGTTCTCTGTGGTACATATTTACCAGCCCTACGATGCGCCACTGTGAAACATCCATGGTGGGGATGGGGATGTTGGTTTAGCTTATGATGTGTTAATAATTGGGTTTGTGGGTGCATTCATTGATAGTGTGATGTTGTTTTCTTTAATAAAACATGCTAGTTTCCTACAATCTTTAGTTTCATGACCAGGAATATTGCGGTACTGATGGTAGCTTGAGTTTCTATTACCTATATGAAAATTGTTATTGTTGCCACTGGAAAGTCCTTGACAGCATGGTGGTCAGGTTCCTGTGTTATTAAACCTGGTTAGAGGGCGAGTGTCATTGTCAGACCTGTGTGATTGGCATTTGGAATATTTTTAGGTGTGGTTCACTGTGGCAATGAGAGGTACTGGTTGAGTTTCTTTCAAGGATCTTTCATCATCAACTAGTTTGTCATATAAATCGGGAAAAGTGATGGTGTTTCTCTAATTTTTAAGGCAGAGGAGATCTACGTATAGTCATCACAAATTGACTTAATATGTGGACAACTAGGTCTTCTTCATCAACAAGGCTCTGTGCTAGGGTAAGTTCATCAACAATGTGTTTCATGTCATGTAGAAATTCGGTGACAGATCTTGCACCCTTAGGGTTATTAGCAAGTTGAGATTTTAAGGAGATGATGCATCGTTGTTATAGCTATCTGTCAGTCGTTTGAATGCTTGGTGAGATGTCTCTGCGGAGGAGACAATCGGTTGAATAGTATCGGGTGCCTTATATTGAAGATTACATGGTTGGAATGTATTGGTTGAGTTTCTTTCAAGGATCTTTCATCATCAACTAGTTTGTCATATAAATCGGGAAAAGTGATGGTGTTTCTCTAATTTTTAAGGCAGAGGAGATTTGTGTATAGTCATCACAAATTGACTTAATATGTGGACAACTAGGTCTTCTTCATCAACAGGGCTCTGTGCTAGGGTAAGTTCATCAACAATGTGTTTCATGTCATGTAGAAATTCGGTGACAGATTTTGCACCGTTAGGGTTATTAGCAAGTTGAGATTTTAAGGAGATGATGCATCGATGTTATAGCTATCTGTCAGTCGTTTGAATGCTTGGTGAGATGTCTCTGCGGAGGACACAATCGGTTGAATAGTATCGGGTGCCTTATATTGAAGATTACATGGTTGGAATGTACACAATTACAGGAGTAATGCTAGGAACTATTATTGGTAACTTTCTATATATTTGACTTTACATATGAAGACATTTGACTATACAATTGAAGTGACAATCTCTAAAATGGGTTTTGATAACCCATTGGGCTCGATATCCTTAATGTAATTTCTCTTTGTTGTTAAAAAACAAAGATGGATGGCTAGTATAGCAAGCCAACAACCTCTAAAACACGGGTGCAATTTTTGTTTCAAGAGCACCCACTTCCTGAAAAATGACAAGATGTCCTTTTTACTTGGATAAATTTCGAGAATATTATTGATGAAGGATTACCATGCATGCAACTCACTTCCTAGAAACGCAATGGGACTATCGTGCACATTGCTATTGTTATTTCTTGTTCCAAAACAACTTTTACCTTTAAAAACTTGGTTTGACTTGCTACAGGGGTTGATTAAATATAAACTGTGCAAGTTATAAAAGCAAATAGCACGTCCCCATTGCAGCAGAAGAGGTTAAAATCGCAGCAGAGAGAGCAGTCTACAACATATACTTCCATATTTTTAAAATCTAGTTACGGGACTTCTGTCTATCTATACATCTCTCTAGATAAAGGATGCAAAGTGAACAAAAAAAACGTCATAAAGTACTTAAAAAAAAGGGCGAAAAAAGAAAGAAAAAAACTAGAACCAACTGAAAGACAAGATCGATGGGTTGCTTTTTTTCTCCTAATCTTGTCGAGGGCGTGCCACCCAAAGAGAGCTGAGAGAGCGAAGGCGATGGAAGTGCTCAGCCACTGCTAGCAAACTCCTGGCTGCCTGGCGAGTTGTCAGGAGTTGGAGTACATGATGAATTGTCTGGCGTCGCAAATTATCAGCCTGTAATTAAGGTATTATTAGTTGTAGTTAGTCTGTAAATAGATATAGTTTGAAGAAGCTGACGAATAAAATAAATTAAAACTTTCATTCTTGAATGTCATTTTCACGTAGCATAAGCAGGCCTGATCATATAATTAGTCATAAATTATCTTTTTTTTTTAAAGAGAGTCATAAATTATCTTACTAATTAATACGTTGACATTTTACAAGAGAGATTGTCAATTTGTCATAGTGAGTGGTCACATTGTCAAATGAGCTCAAATATTTATATAATCATTTTCAATATATATTTCTTTTAGATGATTATGAATTTTGTTGATCATGTCTGTGTGTGAAGTTGCTAATGGAACATGGAAAATGTGAGTTTTTCTTCGCTTAGCTGGATATGAGTGGCAAATTTTTGGACATAAGTTCAACCTTTGGTAGTTATTCTAGATATTGAAAGTAGGTAATTGTATATTGAGTTGATGTAAAATAAGGAAATTGCAAAACATAATTTATACAACTAGAATAACATGTCATTAGCATAAGGCCTACAACAGTAGTCAAATAAAATATTGTTTTTAAACTATTACCTCCCTTCATCTAATCTGCATAAAATATTTAAATAAATAAATGGTACAATATGTAGTGGAAAAAGAGAAGATATGCCTTAAATTGATAGATCAACTTATTATTTTCTCATTGATCAATTGACAGGGTAAGTTGTTTAATATGTAGCAAATAAAGTCAGACAAACCTTAAGTTTATGGATATTAGTTTAAGAATTTCATTTTATTAATACGTGACCCATTGCTGGCTACGTGCCATCAAATATGTTAGAGGAACCAACTTTGGTTTAAAAAAATTCTAAGAAACTAATTAAGGGCAGAAAGAGTCTTCAGAAACACAAATGGATGATAAAATCTTGAGAAAGGGAGGAACAACAATTTTTATATTTTTTGAACAGCAGAAACATCAATTTATTTAACAAACATTTAAACATCAATTTATTTAACAAACATTTAATTCTATCTCATGTGTTTAAGGAGTATATTTACTACACAAATAATAGAAATGATTTTCAGTTTAATATAAAAAACTACAAAAAGATTTATCCAAAGCTACCATAAACCGATAGTATATATATGACGTGTTTCGCAAAACTAGCTAGTAGCTAGTAGTTAAAATTATAGTTTTTATTTGTTATATGAACGTTTTGCAAAAATAGCTGGTGCTTTTGAAATGTATAAAATTACTTAAAATGACAACTTGTATAAAAGATAAATATGTAAATATATTTTTAAAGGTGATTCTGAAAATTGATTAGGGCGTGTTTGGTAAAACGTTCAATTTAACCAAAAAGTTTTGTTTGGCCGTATGAGATTTTAGATTTTAGTTTAAACAAAACGTTTAAAATCTAAAAACTCTTCATGTTGCGTTTAAAAAAAGTTATTGAGCATTTTGATTTCCAAAATTGACATTAAAAATGTATTTATATATTTATCTGTTTGAAACAATTGTTCTATTATGTAAATTTACACATTTCAAAAGCTTTCATTTACTTTTGTCAAACACTTAGATTATGTTTGGCGCGCCACAGCTGGTTTAGTTTTTAAGTTTTTTAAGTTGTCATGTTGGCAAGACAAAAAGTAGTCTATACGCTAGCTTTTTAAAAAGCTATTTAGTATAGTTTTTTATGATCTTTTTAAAAAAATTTCAAATATACCTCTTAATTAATTATAGAAACAAATTTTTTTTAAATGTTTTTTTATGTTATTTTATCTTTCAGCTAGTTTTATTAAACATTATTTTTTCTCAGCTATCTTTTCCGTTACAAGCTAGCTTTTTATTTAACAGCTAGTTTTTCAGCTATTAGTTATTTTTTCAGCTAACAACTAGCTTTTCAACTAACAACTAGTTTTTTAGTTGGTATGTCATATATAGCCTTATATAACATATAAAAGCTACAGCTTCCAACTATTAGTTACCCGCTACCAGCTAGTTTTGCCAAACACAACCTAAAAAGCTAAATAGACTTTTCTTAAATGCTACATGAAGTAGCTTTTGATTTGAAGTTTTTTTGTTTAAACTAAAAGTTAAACGTTCGTAATCTCAAACAGAACTTTTTGTTTAAATCGATCTTTTTGTTAAAAGCTGAAAACTAGAAATCCTCAAACGCTTGCGGCAAACACGCCCCATAGTATCTTAGACTAAAAATTATATCCAAAAAAGAGAAGGATTAATAGTAGAAGTAGATGTAGCTTTTGGAACTAGTAGCTTGATGTTGTAATTTTAAGAACATCCACAATAAATAAATAAATAAAAACTCAATTAAAAAGATAATACAATGCTCATAATCACAATTATTTTTGAAGGATGGTAATATCATTAGATAACCACTATTGACACAATAGTGAGAAAAAATTGAAGCTATTGAACCAATTGATCATATCAATAAAATGATATGTTTCTTCTACATATGATTTTAAATCTATATTTATTGTAATTATAATCTATCGTTATATAGAAAAAAAAAAGTTATAAAGTACAAAAACATATATATGGAAGTTGGTTTTGATGTTATTGAAGTAGTTGTACTTTTTTATTATAGGGTTTAGTGTGGGGATGGTCTAATTTGTTGGTGAAAATCAAATGATATTGAAAATGACATCATGTAAATATGGGCTTTCGGATATCCAATGATGGGGATTGGGGATGTTTGTTTTTTTTGGGTCCACTCCACTCTCTTTAAACACAACGATCACCATGCCCCTTTTCCAAAACTAGGTCAAGCAAATTACCCTTTATCTCATATTCATGCATGCCATGTCTCATGATTCGTATTCTGTTTTCTGTTCTTAAATCTCAATCAACTATTCAACTACAATTATTACAGTTGCTAAAAAAAGTTGTAATAATTACAAATCGAATGAGGTAGTTTAATTATATAAGTAGACAATTCACTGTTAGGTACGAATTTGTGAGTTTTCTTTTATTTAAAATATTAAATTTGTATTGGTTATGTTAAAAACTAACAATTACATATCCGTATGCCCTTCGAATTTGCTACTTGCTAATCGTTGTGGCCTTTATTTTTATATATTTATTTGTCGTTTCCAAAAAAAAAAATTACATATCCTTATATTTAGAGTGGCTTTACAGTGGTTAATGGTTTACATTAACATGTTTTAATATTCGTCTTTTTTTTTAATATACATTGAAGCTTATTTAATACAAAACAAAAGTATTAAATATAAAAAAATATTATATTTTTTAATATCAAGTAACAAATTAACGAAAAAAATCCATACCATCCTCGGACATGATTTGTCTATTAATGAAAACCAATCTTTAAAAAAAACCCAACTCTTCATTCATCGAGAATTCAGTCGGATTGACATTAATAATATTAATAATAACGATGTCGACGATGATAAAAGAAATTCTAATACAAACTTTATATGGATTTCATAAAACTGCAGTTTTGACAAACGAAGAGCAAAAAAACTAATAAATTTAAGACCTTAAGAGAAAGTACGTTTTTTAATCAAGGAATTGAGCAATATGTAAAAGTTAAAGATTTATATTTTGTCAATGATTAGTGATTGGATATTTTAATCAAGTCAATGAGGGGATGTGGATATAGGACCAAATGAATCAATACATGTGCCAACTGTAAAATTAGGGTTTCCCATTTCATTTAATTTTATCTAATTTTAAAGTCACATATAATTGATGGACCGAAGGAGCAGGTTAATAATCTGTTGGAGTAGGTTCCCTAACCAAAGACTGTTAGTAACATATTCTCATCCATGGACCCACATATATTTTGCACTTTGAACTATATAATCATATATAAAGAACAACTTTTTGCTGTGATAATTAATTATATATATAGATACTATATATCTTGGAAAATAGATAGATAGTGTACCTGTAAAACGAAACTTTCTAGGGTGGAGAGCTTGTTCATGGCTGCAGCCATTTGACCCATGTAGTTAGCCATGTTTGTAGGTGAACTTAGAGCATCAGAAGCAATGGTATCAGATAAAGATTGATTTAGTGCATCGAGCCCTTGTGAAAGTGCTTCTTCGGCTTCTTGTGTAGCTTGTTGCACTTCACATATCGCCATTAGTTGTTGCTCAGTTAATGGCTCGATTTGACCAAGAATTATCTATAGATTAAAATTCCAACAACCCAAATAATTAAGGATTGATTGCACAGTAAATTTTAGGCACCATGGTAACAAGTAATTGTGTGACATTCAATATGGTCTTTTAATTTTCTTGATATATATTAAAGAACTTTATAAGCAATTTGGTATTCATATATAATTAATAAAACATTAGTATATATATATATATATATATATATATATATATATATATATATATATATATATATTAGTTTATATGTATTCTAAAAAGGAATCAAATGGCCATGTCTTCTAGGATGGATTCATATATCCATACAAAAGGTACAAGTACGAGAAGTAACATGATACAAATTTGTGAAAATGCAATTTCCTCTTTCCAAATATTTTGTTTGGAAACATGTAGAGAGTGAGAGGATACAGACACAACACAGAAAACACACAAGAGTGCAGAAGTTGTAGTGACAGACATGGGCTTTTTAGCACAGTTTGGAATAATACCTAACTCATCCTACAATGGAAAAAACCCCTTCGTCATCATTGTAATTATTCACTCTGTGTCACCTTCACTTTTACACACACACACACACAAACAGAGTGTATAAGTACAAGCAAACAACAGCTTGCAGTACTCATGGAAATTAACTGCTTCCTATACTTCCTGGAGTATCTCATCATATCAACTCTTCTTACAATTTATTGTCATCCTTTCTACTTATGGTATAGCTATTTCACATAAATTAGAGATTGTTTTTCATAAACTATGTCCATAAACTATGTCTATATTTTAATAAAATAAAGCCAGTTTTATCCATTAAAAAAGAATATTTCACTTTGACATGTATTTTAATGCAATTGTTTGATTGTTGCTAATATTTCTAAAATTCTAGTTGTAAAAAAAAAAATTAAAGAAGCTAATTGACAAAAAATAAAAGATATTATTCCAATTAATTATTAATGAATGAAAAAGTATTAACTATTATTCAAAACTTCAAATTTATTGTTTAAAAAAAATTAAAACTTAAAACACGGTTTCATTTTTTTAACAACTTAAACTAAAAAAATATTTTATTTTTTTCTTTACGAATTAGATAGTCAGTGATTCACACATAATAATTTTGTTACATAATAACTTATGTTTATAAAGTTGTACAATATTCAAAAGGATTATATTATACAATTTTCCTTATTTATTTTAAAAAATTTCTAACCAAATCTTACAATGGTTATTCCGAGAAATATAACCAACAAATCTATTAATACATTGTTATATATATACACTTTTCTAATAAGACATTTATCAACTAGAAAGTCGATTTGACAGTGGTGTTATCTATGTATTTATCTTATAGTATCTATCTTATATAGTGATTTTTTTTAAAACAAATGCATTAAATATACATTCTAGCTTCTAAACAAGAATACCAACAGTTAATTATGTCATATATATATATATATATTATATATATATATATATATATATATACTTATACTACATTTCACTATACTTTACTATATATATATATATATATATATATATATATATATATATAGATATATATAATATATATATATAATGACCTTTTATCCAAATAATAACTTTTTTTTACCTTATTTCAGTTAAATAAGTTTGAACTTTTATACATTATAATCTCTAGAGGATGATTAGTTTAATTTGGTAAAAATATATTTTATAAATAATATATTAAAATTTTAATTTGTAACCTTAATTATATCAAGTTAAATAAAAATAAATTAAAATATCTCAAACACATACACGATAAAATGTGTGGTTGCACATACTGGGGACCAGAGTGTCCTCTTTTAGAAGGTTTCACTGCAACACTTTCACACTTTTGACTATTCTTGTGGCATTTTGAGGATCATGTACCATGCTTTCTCTCTCATTTTAGTGTTTTATATTTAGGGTTCTTATTTGCTTTTGTGTGTGTTTGTATGTATAGAGATATGTGTCTATATGTATTTATGTATGGAGATAAGTTTAAACCTTGATGAGCTCAGATGGTCGAAACCCTCCAATCCACATGAAGCACCGCTCAGCAGGAGTTTTCCAGGTACCGGAGATGATGTGGAAAACATCAGATTTAGCAACGATGCTCTTCAGATTCATCACATCATCAATACGTGCTATGCAGTTATCAACATAGATTCGGAGCTCGTTTTCTGGCAAGTGTTCTTGAACTGCAGCTTGAAGCTCACACATTTGACGATGGTAGTCCTCCAGCCACCTTGCATACTCCATGTCAAAAACTGCAGCATCTATTATAAGTTTTTTTTCATAAGTCATGAACAAGCCTTCAAAGATCAAATTAGTAGATCAGTAATTGATGATCGTTTTTAGTTAACTTTGTTATCGTACCTGAGCTTATGTTGCTCATGCCAAGAGGAACACCTTGATCAGCTCCAAGAACACCACCGCCATTACCAAGATAAACCCCCTAAAATTACAATACAGAAACAAAACATCACAAAATTAACCCATGAATCTTAAAAAATATAAAGGTATAACCCATGCATTTAAGTAGAATTTATTTTCTAGAAAACAATTAAAAAAATATATAATCACCTGAGCTCTCGCTCTTTGCAACTCTTGTTCCAATTGGGTAAGTTTAATTCTGCTTGATTCTAGCTGCTGAACATAAGCCTGTAAAAGGAACACAAAACGATGCACGGAAATTCATGGAAGATTAATTTATATTACCGAGGTGTAACAAACATTTGTGAAACGTATACAGACAAAATTTTTCTCTTTTTCATAAATTTCATACCTTTTTTCTCAGCCTGCTTTTTCTTGCTGCCTCTCTATTCTGAGCAAGTCTCCTCAATGTCTGCTTAATAAGATCAAACATGTTAAACGGTTCATTTCTTACATTTTTAGTATTGAAATTATTTTCTTCTTTTTCACAAATTAAAATCAATAATAGAGAACCTTAGGATCCGGTGTTTTCGGGCGATTCTGATCTGAACTAGTTGAAGGCCCTTTCTTGTTTCCCTCGTTCTACATCAACAGTGAAAATAAAATAAATGAATCAAGTATAATTATACAAAATATGATGAAGAAGTATAGTGAAACCCATATCTTGTATATACAAGATAAGAAATTTTATATGTATAAGTTGATAAAATAAACACTTAAAAGAATACGACAAATTAAGAAGTATGGTTACCTTGATAGCTTTAGAGGATTGAGGGGCAGGTGGAGGAGCATCCTTTTTGTGGTTGGCAATGTTATCCATAGACTGCTCCGATGGTCTTCTTGAACCACTGCTTGATGGAGAAACTAATCCAGTAGTTGCCTACCAAATACACAATTACAAATTCATTTTTCAATAAATTAATTTGATCAATCAACAATTAATCTACTATATATTAAAAAAGAAACAATCTTTATTGTTTAGAAAATGATACCTTAGTAGTAGAGGTCGAAGGGTCTACCACATGCATCGGTTGGGAAGGGAAGATGTTCAAAGTTGGAGGTCTCATACCAGATGCCGAACCCTCTGCAAACATTATCAATTTTAATGAATCTTCAATAATTAAATATATTTGGTTTTTAAATAAGTTTAATTGATAGGGGTGAACTGATACAACATGAATTAATCAACAAAAGTTATAGACGGGTTCGGAAAAAAGGTATTTGATTATTTCGCTCGTATTTTATTGATAATTACTA